ACGCCAAAAAACATAGTGCCCCCCCCCCCCCCCCCCCCTTTCCTCGCAGATCTAAAAAAAAGTTTTTTTTTTTTTTTTTAAGTTAGTGCAAGTAGGCAGGCGAGCTGGTTAAGGATAAACATAGTAATCCTGGCTCCAAGGTTACTATCTCTGTCCTTAACCAGCTCGCCTGCCACTTGCATTAACCTTAAAAGCAAAAAAAAAAAAAAAAAAAGTGTGCCATTTGGGGGGTTTTGGATCGACTCGGAGGCCGTTCGGGGACTCTCAATGCTCCCTGCATCAGAGGTCTTGTGCAATGCCATAAGAAAGCTCTTTTTTGTGTGTGTGTCTGTGTGCCTGTGTGTGTGTGCGCGCGCGTACGTACGCGTGTTCGTGCGTGCGCGCGCGCGCGTGTGTGTGTGCGTGCGTGCGCGTGTGTGTGCGCGTCCTTTTTCTTACTTGGCGCGGACCCACATGAGCGCTCTCGGTAACCCTTGGAGGTCCGCAGACCACAGTTTGAGAACCGCCGGACTAGGCTGACCGGACTACTCGCACGAGTGCCGTGCTGCAGGAAGACGAGGCCGTCCGGCTAGCGGTGGTCGCGGGAGCCTGGTAAGCGTCAAAACAAGATGGCAATCTTGGCTCGGTGCCCCGCGGCGTCGCACCGATCACGGATCGGCAGAGGATTCGTCGATGGCGCAACGAGAGGCGGCAAGGAACTCCTCAAGGTCCGGCTGGCGGTGAAGAACCTTGAGGAAAGCCAAGGACGCGTCGAGACCAGCGCGACAGCACTGCGCTCCCGTCGGCCATGTCGAATCGCCGTACCCCCGCAGTGGTATCCTGTTTGTTCTTTGGAGTACGGTCCTCGTGCCAAGTCTCGTCCAGGCGTGACTCGGCAGCCCACGCTGCAATCCGATGGAACCAATCACACAGAGCAATAAGTGCAGCGCCGAAAGTCAGCGTGTTGACTTCTACTTAGAGGGACTCCGGCGATTTTTCGAGCTACCTGGAACTAACTATATTTTCGGAATCACCGGCCCTTTGCCTTTCCGGTATTCCGTTTAGTATTGCGAAATTCAGAATAGATACTGTAAAATTGGCAAGCGAAAATGATGCCAAAGCAAACATTCAAATATACCCGCGCTTTTCAGCGCCGTGACGTCAGTGGAAGGCAGGCTTGCAGGTCGAGCGGGTCGTCTAATTATGTCGAGCATTTGTTTCGTGCTGCTGCGCGGGCGGTGGAGTGATTTTCCAAAGCATTCATTTGACACCATGAAGCTGCTTCGAATCAGTTGGGAACAAATACAGTCTAAAGAAAGTACCCCTGCCTTCTGCTGACGTCACTTTTGCATTGCTGCCAGTAAAGACTTTCACTTTGAAAAACATGGTGAGGACCAAAACTGTAAATTTGATAACAAAGTATAAGAAACGTGTGGCCCCGATCTGCGAAGAAGAGGACACCTGCGGCAGGGTGCGCCTGCCCGTAGAAAGGATCGTTTAGTGAGGTTTCAGTGAGCTCCGGACATTGATGTTAGTATATAGCTTCTTGAGTCTGCTTGAAATGTTTCTAAAATCAACAGCGATAGGGAACGTTTTAGCACACTAACAAGGTGTTTGTATTGGCTCCTCGTCGGCGCCAATTTTTCTGAGATTTATCTGAGTGTGCTGAATCGCGCTCTGCACATGAGGGTATAGTTAAGGCTGCGGTCCCACGGCGGCCATGACATATGACGCTTTCCGCACGTTTTCGAAATGCGATCGTGGCGTGTTCAAGCTTGCTAAAATTATGTGTTATATATCATCTTGTAGTGTACAACATTATCTTTTATCTGATGTAGGATTTGTTTTCCTAGTGCAAAAAGCTAATTCAGAGGGCACCCGCGAACATTGACCTTTTCGGCAAAACATGGTTTCGTAGTACAGTGGTACAGGGTGCACTATTGGAGCAATTTCTTTCAAATTTTAGAATGTTATAGAAGAAGAGTGCGTTCATTGTCAACGGAGGCCCTTTTTTCGTTTTTTATTTTATTTTGACAGATATTTACTTCAGAAAAATTGACTTCGCGGAAGCACTTCAGTCGCGAAGTTTTGGGCGCCTACTCGGTCATTTTATTTGAAACTTTTTACATCAGTCTGTAATTATGGTCGAAAGAGTTACGCTAAACTTCATTGTAATATGGCTTAAACTTTTTTCGGAATGCTCACGTGAAAAGTGACAAAAACAGTTAATTTTGGCAAACTTCATTTGGTAGAACAGTGGTACAGCGCTTAGGGATTGGCACACATAAATCAAATTGTAGGCCCGCAAAGAAAAACATATTCTGTTTTTTTTTTCTTCTAATCAGTGTGTTTGAGCGGGACCAGATGTGCATGATAGGATTTCTCTCATAAAAACGCGAGCACCAGAGTTGCTGTTCACCTCTGAAATTTACGCAAAAGGTCTCCACTTTTTAGATCTGAAAGATTTTTTTTTAATCTAGGGATTATGCTGGAGATGTGGCAGAGATGCACCTAAGCCTGTGCTGCAGTGGGGAGTATAAACATCAGCACAACCTGTTTCGCCCAGCGTCAGAAGCAGTCATAAGATCGTCGCGGTCATCTATATGGTAAAAAATGGACTAACTACGATTCATCAAGCTTGTCTGAGTCAAGCAATGGCCAACACACGTTTTAAGATTCTCAGCACGAAATTTCAGACGATTCGCCGTTCCGACATTCGATCGGCCGGCATCGCCTCCGAGAGGACCGCCCCTGGAAGCTGTATTCGCTATCCGCCAAATGTGGACGAGTGAGCGTCGTCTGCTCGTTTATCGCATTCCGCAAAGAGCCCCGACCAGACGCAATCCATCAAAAAATACAGATCGACGCTCAGTATCATGCATTACAACGCATAACGCAGTGAACGAAGGGACGTCGTCTGCTTTTGAATAGAACATTTGGGCTGTGTGCCAAATCTTACCAAAATGGATCCCAGTTACTCCGGCGGATCGTATCACGTGACAGCCCAGATTGAAAAACGCTGGACGCGAGTAGATTTTAGAACGCCAAGGGTACAAAACCCTTACCCTGGAGTAAGATCGAGTGAATTTTGGAACACGGCCTTGATGTCACGAGCGCCCCTGCTCGTTGTTGCCGGTAGGGCGACAGCCAGTTATTCGGAGGTGTACGCGTAAATTTAAAATTCATTTTCTCGGAAGAAAATAAATATTTTAATTATATATTTCGTAGACATACTTGGGAATGTATATTGCATCGATGGTGAATATTTTATAAATAACGACAACCATCATTATTTTGCCGGAGCTCCCCAGACGCAAACTTTTGACGCTAGCGTCAAAAGTACAACTCACTGGGCATTTCTTTTGTTCATGATTGGTTCATGTTGATAGAACGTGCAGACAAACACGACGAACACCATGATGGTGCGCTTTTGACTCTGCCTGATTGGTCCTATCACCTCGTGACGTCGCCTGCGCTTGGACCTTAAAAATCGTGAAAGGAACTTTGTGCTGGCATAATTTCGGATTTAATTAATCGCATAAAGTTTAGTGTGCCGAAATAAAACTATTCCCCAAGTGTACAAAGCCAAAAGTCTGCTTTTCGGTACGAAAATTTGACAATATATAGTGGCATAGCCTCCTCTATACTCACAGAGCCTGGCAGTTCGACGACGGAGCCATAAAGTGCCCGGTCGCAGATTTGGAGCAGGAGGATCTGGTAGCACAGAGCATCAAATAGACATTTCTCGGGGAACCTGGGCGTCAGCGCACAGCTTTTGCAGCGGCGAGGACCCGAAACACACTTGTTCGCTCGGGAGAAGCGTGTTACGGCGTCTCGCCGCACCGGGGCGCCAGTCACGTGGCTCTTCTCTCATCCGTTGCCTGCCGCTCCACCTTTTCCATTTCGGCGGCCGCTTCTCGTGGCGATCTGCCAGGCTTTGTCAGTATATAGGAGGCTATGGTAGTGGACTATTTCTTACCTCTATACCTTCGAAAGCTGTCCGCCTTTTCACTGTGATGCATCCGCGGTGCCCACGGCACGTATCAGCCTAATCAAGCTGACGCATTGAACACGAGCACTGTGACGTATGCGCTCGAAAACGATAAATCCGTCGACGAGTGCCGTGGCAATCCACTTATAATCAGTTGCGAAGGACAAGTCATCGCATCCGGTGCCCAAGCGCGTGACGACCACGCCATTTCCCGTTTCGCTTTTTAGTCGAGAATCAAAGCTAAGGAGATCGCCACTATCGGGAAAATATGGCGGTGAGACGACATCTGTACCATTTACCAGCTCAGCGCACAACGCTCGGGTTTCAGCAGGCTAGCAATAGACTAAAAATGATTTACCCGAAAATTCCTTCAGTTTTCAAACCTGCAGCGATGTGTTTGGCGTAAGCTTGCTTCCATGCATGGCGGCTTTACCTTCTTCGGGGAAGCGATGGAAGGACTGCGGTGCTGATGAACCTTGATAAACGCGCAATGTCTGGTTCACGCGGTAGCGTATAGTTTCATTCAGAGTACGGTGTGGTTCGGAGCGACCTGGGCAACACGACGGTAACGACAGAGTTATCGGAACAACTGTTACATCACGTCGACTGCCGACAACATGAGATCACGGAAGCCAGAAGGAACGAGCAGAAATCGCGAAAGGACCTGTTTCGTTCAATTCAGCGTTTTCCCACTAGACGACGCGCGTTTTGCTGGAGTCGCTTGGTGGTCAAAAGAAGCTATCGGGATCCGGCAACGGCTTGTGAGGAGTTTGCCGTGTACGAGATTCCTATGGCAAACCCCTGGCGAATGTAGGCTAGCCTGGGTGAATCATACAGTCGGTTACGCTCGGACTGGGAACCGGAGAACAATAGGGAGTTTTCGTAGATCGTTTTCGACGTCCCGCAAGGCCCTCCGCAACCCGCTACGATAGCGGGAACTCCACAGTCAAGGCTATCGGCGCTCAGGCGCAGTAGCAACTTCTTCGTTGCGGAACGCTTAGCGGAAGGGGCAGCGCGGTCTACAAAAACTCCCTAATAAGTACAGCGGAACCGTGCGTGGCCTCCGACTCCGATTGATTTTTCGATTGAAATTATCTTTATTTCAGAAAGCGATTGGGGAAGGAAAGATTGTGTTTATCCCAATTCCAGGATGCCACTGGCTTCCAACGCTTCGGTGGCCCTCTCTACCAGCCAATGCTGGCAGACAAGGTTATCGCCGCGCAGGATGACCTCCTCCCTTGACGTGAGTGTGATTGGAGCGATTGGGGCTCCGTACTTTGTGGTAAGCGTCCGCCCTCTCCTGGCCAACGTGGGCAATGTGTCTTTCTGTAGTCTCCTAGGAATGTATTCTTCCTGGGTTAGGTTTTTGTCCAGAGGAGGGTATGTTCTTTCGTTGAGTCGCAATACACTTAAATATTCGGCGAAGTTTATGATCGCCATGTCGAAGGAGGGGTGTTGCAATGGGGGGGGGGGGGGGGGGGGGGGGGGCGGATGAGAAGTCCTCCGGCTGTGTCGTTGGCGGCCTCGTTCCCCTTTCGCGCCGTGTGTCCTGGCGTCCAGATGAGAAGCACCTTCTCCAGGGGGTGTTTACGGAGTATTTGATGGGTCAGTGTGGATAAAGTGTCTAGAGGCCTCCTTCGAGTCCGTGAGAATTATGGCCCGGGGGTTGGAGGTGATGGCTAGGGCGATGGCTGCCTCTTCCCCTTATGTGACGATTTTGGTCTTCAGTGTGGCCGAGTTGACCACTCTTCCGCCCGGTGTTGTGACGACAGATACCACTTTTCCTTCTCGTCCGATGCCGATTCCCTTTGCAAGTTTGAACTGGCAGCAGTAGCTCTCTTCAGGCGGAGACGCCGCGGATATGCTTCCACCGAGCAGTGACTCCGCATTTTATGCTTGGGTGATAAGTGCGGGAAAAGTGTTTTTGGAATCGAAGAATGCCATTCATAGTCTTTACGGTGCTAGGTAAACCCACGAATTCCGGTTCTCTTTTGCTGCGTCTAGGGATGAGACTCTGCCATTCGATTCATGTGTTATTCGCAAGTTGGAAGCACCAAATGTCTCCCACAGGTCCCGTGTCGCACACACCGCCGTCCCTTCCCCGTGGCGACCGTGTACAAGACCGACGTCACTTCGCCCGCTGCTACGTCCAAGGTCTGGGAATGGCCGCCACGCGGTGAGGGGTAGTTTTCTTCGCGCCCTTTTTTTTCCTGTAGCGACGAGCAGAGGAAGCCCCGAGCAGGAGCATCGCAGTCAAGATGGCGCTCGAAGCGAGTCAAGGCCTTCGGTGCGGTCACCGCAAGGCATACCGCAAGGGCCTCCGATGCGCGCGCGGCCCATGCGGGACCTAGGCGGGTATTCTGCCCCGCTCGCTGCACGCCAACTGGGCCGGCGCTGCCGCTGACCAGCCGAGGGGGAGCGCTCCTTGCCGCGGCGCGGCCGATCCGCGTCGGACTTCGTAGAGGCCGATGCCTCCTTCCGATGTCAAGGTTACCTGGGCCGGAGGAAAAGCGACGCAAAACAAAGCCGGAGAAAGCGGAGGAGACACACCTTGAAACCGGCTCTCGGCTTCTTGAGCACAGGCGCACGGAGCGGCTGCAGCTTCTAGCCGTCCGGTCTTCTTCCTTCAGCGGCGAGTTTGCAGCGCGGCACGGTGGTTAGCGCCGACAAGCAATCGCCACTTCTTTCTGTTTGTTTTTTCTTCTCTCTTTTGGAATCGAAGATTTGTGATAGAAGCTACTAGTACGTGGTACAAAATTCTCGCTAAGGAGGGCAGTAACCTAAGGGGTGAAGTTTAGTGCCCGTCAACACTGTGTCATAAAATGGATATTGTAGTTGCTAGCGTTGAAGGAGTTGAGGGTGAAGAAGAGCCAGTCGTGTACTCGCTCTGTGCGGATTTGTAAAATGCAGAAAAGCGACGCGTCGGGTTCGCGCTATAACAGTGTCGCGCGGTTTAGCGTGTTGAGGAGCTCTGCAAAGCGACCGACTCGACGCCGGAAAATTTGGCGATGGATAGCTAAGCCGCCCACCTACGTACGGGCTCACTGTGCCTCGCCGTCTGACATCTGTGACCTCTGTGACCAAGGGCTGTCATTTCACCGCTTGGAATCCTATACATTCACGAACCTGAATATCCAACGAGACAGGAATGTGCGTTTGTCACGCGACAGGCGCGTCCGAGTCCAGCGAGACCAGAGCCACTGGAGGGCCTGGCCTTTCCGCGGTTCTAGTTATCCAACGAGTCAAAGATCCAATCGCAGGACAAAATTGATTATTCAACACGACGTCCTATCCAACGAGTTTGAAATACCAACAGGACGGGTGATTCGATCGCATCTGCTTTGTCCGGCAAGCCCCAATGCCGCGGCGCGTTAAAATGTCCTACAAGACGAAATATGCATGGATCTCAACTGCAGATGAGCCATGGAACGTATGTATGTATATAGCACGCTTAAATATAAAGATAGGCATCCCCATCTTCTTCCGAGACAATAAAACAAATAAAAATAGTTGTGCCTTTTAGTATTCGGAGCTTGTGGGATGACGTGCCGCCAGCCGAACGCCAAAAACCGTTTTCTTTTTTCTTTCTTTTCAGGACCTCACAGGACCTTTCAGGACTTTCAGGACCTTTCAGGACAAAATGACGAGCTCATGCCAAAACTCCCCGGTGAGAACACAAAGACATCGACCTCATTGCAAGAAGGCGGACCAGATGGGTCGAAGAACGCGCTCAACTCGGCGCAAACAATACAATTTTTTTTTTAAAAATCAAGAAATCAATGCGAGTATTGGAGAGTCACTGACTCACTCGCTGGACTGTGGCCGCACGCGTGTCATCTGACACTGCACAGAAGAAACTTTTCGCGCGTGCTTAGAACGCGTTTCATAGCCCAGCAGACAAAAATGGCAGTTCACAGGAATCCCGGAGAAAAGCTCACCGGAGAAAAGCTCACCGGAGAAAAGCTCACCGCAAAACCGCCGGATGCGGAGAAAAGCTCACCGGCCACTGAGCGTGTGTGGAGAAAAACTCACCGATATTTTTTCTCCTTTTTATATGGAGGCTGTTTGATCGTGCGTAACATATATATCAATTTATTATCATTAAAATTCGTCAGCTTTGTAAAAAATAAAATGTCCTCTTTTGTAATATTTGTTAAGCTTATCGGGTATATTGCTCCTAAATTAATAATTGCGGGCGAGTGTTTTTTGTGGTTTCCTCTCTATGCAACGAAAACCTAACTAAAATCTTTATGAACTTGAAGAACAGGAAAGAGTAAAAAAAACGTAGTGATGACTGCCTAAAACCTAAAAATCAAGGGTGTAAATGCCGAAAATCCCAAAGTGCACGCGCAACAACGCGGTGCCTGAAATTCTCTTTGAAGCGTTTGTTAACATTTGTAAACAGAATAAAACAGTCAATAGGATATCGAGGTTTCTTCCACGGACATGCACGTTTTCTAGCCGTCCGTGCTAGTGTTTCCACACGTTGCCTTCGTGTGACAGAGCCCTTCTACGGCGAGCCACCCATGACCTTTAGAGGTGCGCACAGTCACCGTTGTTACTCGTGAGCTATATAAGAACTAGTTTTTTCTAAGGTAGGTAGCGAATTGGGCGAGTTTGTAAACGTTATACATGATGAAAACCGCTCAAACCACGACGACGGAGTGAAGACAACAAAAACACGACACGACGAAGCTTTCTCGCAACTAAAGTTTTGTTAGTGAAATTAACAGAACGAAAACAGCGTAACCGACACGGATTGCATTAACAAACATCTACTTATCTGTTAGGCACAACACAATATTTGGAGCTCAAGCGATTCACACACCGCTATTCATATTAAGCTCGCAAAAAACAAACCTCTTTATCTGACAGAGCTACCGACGGCGCACCCTCAGCTGTCAATAAATTGTTGCCTTTTTTACCGGTGTACGATGTTCTGATTTTATACTTGCGGCTTCATTAATTTATAGAATGGGTGATTACTAATTTCTGAGGAATAAGTAAATATGCCCAATGAACCTCAAGGATATTACAAAAACGAGGACATATTTTTAATGAAGTGACGAATGCGAATTTGACGCAGAATCAAACTAGAATCAAGAGTTTAACGCAGAATCAAGCTAAGCTAAAAAAATATCGGTGAGCTTTTCTCCGCATCCGCTAAAAGGCCGGTGAGCTTTTCTCCGCATCTGCCGGTTTTGCGGTGAGCTTTTCTCCGGTGAGCTTTTCTCCGCCGCCCGTTCACAGAGCGCGAATATATTGCCGGACGGGACCACGTGCGTGTTGATTCCGTGCCCGCTGATCCAAGTCGCGAACACACCGAGCCAGCACATTGCTCGGGGAGTATCTGCCGAAATCGTGCAACCGTTTCACGAGACTCCGGGCGCAGGTATGATGGACAGGTGATTTACCCTGCGTTGCCAGGTAGCGAAGCCCGCACAATCGAAAGCCCGCGAAGTTCACGAGGAAGGCTCCGCGTTGGCAGTCCGAGAAGGCTCCTCTCGAATCGCGTGTTTCACGAAAACTAATATCGACCCCACAAAACTAAATTTCACCGTATCCTTGTCTTTCCTTCGCGCTAAATTTGTCCCTTATACTTCACCAACCAATTTAGTATTCTATAAAAACGCTCTACTTGCCCGTGGTACCGACTGTGTGCTCTTCATGCGGACGTAACTTTAGCAATCGCTGCGGCGCACGTGTTATGAGCCGTGAAATCGTACCTGACAAAAGACGGGGAGAATAGTGTGGGTGGAGAGCCCTTTTAGGGAAGGTGATCGGGCTTTTCGGTCTAAACGCCAAAGGACGTACAATACTTTGCGCGCGCACCTGTGGGAAAACAGACCAGTTTTTCTGCCGTTCACGACAAAGAACCATGCTGTGTGAGGATGCCCGTTTACCGGACAGAAATTGCGTGCACCTCGGTCGAGATTCAAACCGTCGACCACGCAGTAAACTTCAAAGCACCTTTAATTGTGGTTGACGGGTGTTTGTCCCCGAATACATCGATCGATCAACATGCTATTTGGCTTTCATTAGTGGTGGCAAAAAGCTGCAGCAAGCGGAGTTTGACGTGGCCCCAGCTCCAAGATGACAGTACGCAGGTTCAGCGACTGCTTAATAAAGACACCGTACTTTTAGCTCAAAACACACAAAAGTAAAACGCAAACAAGAACAATCCCGTTTCGTATACGTCATTTGACGGAATAAGCATTTAGGGAGGAATAATTACATATTTATCACCCGCAACGTATAATTGTAGACAATAGCTGCACTAAGTCATCAAACTCCTTCCCTTTGTTTATTTCGTTGTCTTTTTTTAATTTTTTAGAATGGGTGTAATGCTTTTGTTGACCCGTTGAGTCTGTTAGAGGGCTGTCGTTGCTCTTGGAGCCACCCGGCGTTTTTCTTTTTTGTATACTCTATTGCCCTCCTTACAATATCACACGCACCTAGGAGCGAGAGTTGCAGAAAGAACAAACTTGACGGCACCCGACCGGTCTCCGTTCCCTCAGTCACGAGTGCGGCCTTGACCAACTCTGTCGTCGAGTGAGACGTCGTCCGTCATTGGCTGAGAGGGAGCGTCAACCGCGTGCACCTGGAGAAAAAAACAAAAACAAAAAAAGATAAAACAAAATTAGCGCGAATTTAGGTATACGCGCCGAAACAAGCCCGTACTATTTTTTTATGTCATTTTTAATTGCACAGAAATCGTAAATGTGCTTTTTTTTTTTAAATGTTCCAAATTAAATGCAACATTCAACCATTTTTTTTTTTTTAAGGCGGGCGGGGGTTGTGCATTTTGTTGCAAAACGTACAGCGACGTCCGCGGCACCGAAAGGATTGCCGGGAAGTCTAGGTACAAAACTGGTCGTAGTGCAGACGACGGGTACGACGGAGAAAACGGGCGGGCGGGCACGCGACCTTTGTCCCACGACAAAAGTCGCACACAAGTGTTGCTTCGATAATAAACTCCCGGGAGCAATCGAGCTCGTAGTCATCCCATCCTATTCCATCAATCTAGCCCGCGGCCGCGCGAGTCTCAACTGTCCCTTTTCTCTATTTAATACAACCTCTATGGTCCATAGATTTCACTGTTACAAAAGCATACCTTCTACTTTCTCTACATCACAAATCGCATTGCTCAAACTGAAAACCAAAAGAGTGGCTTTTGTTTCCCTGAATCAACCTCGACGATACAAGTGGCAAGACCCCTTTCGACAACAATCCGAGATTTGAAAGATAATTATGGTGCCATTTTCCCCGGACCATTGACTCCGTGCTAATCAAATTGTAAAAAAAAAAAAAAAAAAAAAAAAAAATTAGCTTTTTTTTTATTTTTGGCCGTGGGGGGGGGGGGGGGGGGGGGGGGGGGGCGTGGCATTGGCACGTAAACATTCGGAGTTTATCGGATAAAGGACCAAAATATTACCGGCGAGTGTTTTTCGGAGTTTTTCGGATTTATCCGAAAACATGGAGTTCTAGGTATCGACAAGTGAGGCAAGGAGACCATTAAACTGAGTGTGCGACAGATAATTAACGCATTTCCCAAAATGTGTCTGCGTATGGCGGCGCCAGACACCGATGGTGCCCTCAGTGTTGGGAATCGTGGAAGCGTTGTCTCAGTAATGCAAGCGTATAACAGTCGGCAAAAAGCAACAACAACAACAGTTTGCTCTCCCCCGATACCAGTTTACTCAGCAGTACCTCAAGGATCACTGGGCCCCTTTTATTCTTAATCTATATAAATGATATAGCAACAAATTTCCCTTCCTCTGTTCACGTTAAATTGTTCGCAGACGATGGTCTTTTCAAAAGTAGCTACACTTCAGGACCAGGAAATTCCCAACAAGTCCCTGGAAGAAATCTTCTCGTGGAGTAAGAAATGGGGTATGATAGTTAATTTTGACAAAGCTGTCTCTTGCTGTATTACACATAATAATAAAAAAAAAAAGGTCTTAGACTTTCGTTATTGTATAGGCGGCATTGAACTTAATAAAGTAGAAGCATTTAGGTGTTTAGGAGTTATTTTAGCTAATACCCTGCGCTGGAATAGTCATGTGGAGTACATATGCACCAAGGCTTATCAGAAGTTAGGTATTCTTAGAAGGCATCTTACACATGCAAATGGACATGTTCGATTAGCTCTATATAAATGTTATGTACGTCCGATCTTGGAATACGCGGGGCGAGTATGGGGCCATAGAGCAGTGGTTCTCAACCATCGATGTTTCGCGGACCCCTTGTGGATCGGCGGAGATGATGGAGGACCCCGTTCGTGGTGAGAGGAGAGGAAAGGTATAGGCTAAATATAATAATAATTTAATAAATGAATATAACTAAGGGCTAGTGTGAAGTAGACCTCTCTTATTTATATACATACGACTACGAGAAAGATCACCCGAAAACTGAAACATTTCTTCTGGACCTGAAAAAGAAACATCTTTTGTGCCGGGCTTGACTGATGAGGCAGGGCTTCGCGGACCCCTAAAATGTCTTCGCGGACCCCCATTTGAGAACCACTGCCGTAGAGGAAGCAGCATGTTGTGCAAATGGAACGGATACAGAGTCTGGCACTTCGGGATTTTTTTTTTTTTTTCTCTTCTGTGTATAGGCGCACCGAGTCAGTTACGGCAATGCGAAATGAAGCGCGGCTTGACTGTTTAGAGAAAAGAAGGAAAGTGTGTAGATTAAAGGAATTATGCGATGTGGCTAAAGGCTTGACAAAGATTAATCCTGAACTGTACATGTTACCTTCAACATCATGCTAAAAATATATATATATATATATATTAAAGCAGTTGCACTCTGCCAGTACAGAAATGATGTCTTTAAATAATCTTTCTTTTGTTCGACTATTCTTGAGTCTGCCAGAGCAAGTTGTCAATTGTTGTAGTCCTGAATTATTTGAAGCACAGCTGAATGCATTGAAGGTTTGCACGATGGAAATGTATATCTTGAGCATGTGTGGGTAGCTACAACCTACCTGCGCTCGCTTCATGCGGTGAGTGCATGATTGAGATCCTTGTTTTCTGTGTGTTTTCCCTCCTGTGTAAACCGAAAAGTCCATAGTATTCCAAATAAATAAGTAAATAAATAAAACAATGTTTTGCAAATTTGGTAAATAGAGATCGTCAGAAAGGTTATCGAATAGCTGCAGAGTGTAAACGTCTATTACGCCACACAAGATGCCCTTCATGATAAGAATTCACTCTAGATTCCAAAAGGTACATTGCCCGAACAATATTATCCCATACGGCGCCAGGGTGGACAAGGAAAAAAAAAAAAAAAACAAAGGAAAAAGACCAGAAAAGAAAAAGTGAATTTGATAAAAAATATTATTTATATATCCTGGTTTAAGTCAGACCAGTTTCGCAAAAATAATTCAGAACACAAGACAAGTACGCATATATTTTTATTTCTCGTTTGTCTATCATTTGAGGCTTCCTATACGCATTTGTTTTGTATATAAATCAAAGAAGCATCAGACTACAAAGATTTCTATAAGGCTCAGCACGAGCAAGAAGAGATGCTCTTCTCGGCGAATGGAACCGTTAGCTTGACTTCTATCTTCCACTTCGTTCGCAGAGCGCAAAAGAAAGAAACGGAATCAAGTAATGACCCCTTCCAATCAAGTCCGAACTCGAAAGAAAGACCGAATAAACTTTGTTTTAACTAACTATAAAATCCAGCTCCATACTCTTCTACGATAGCGGGGATTACAGCAGCTAAACAGTTGTTAATTAAACTGTACTTTACATTTACAGTAATTATTTCTTCAGCATCGTGACCAGTAATCGGGCGAATTAATCAATCAATCTGTCACGTCGAAAAATATATCTAGTGGTAAAGAATCCCTATTTTCCAGCTGACGGGATTTAATTGAAATTAATATAATTTGAATCAAATAAACCCATTTTTTTTTATTTACCTAAGCACATCATAAACATGTGCATGTCCTAGGTAGTCCACTTGTCAACATACCGTACGTTGTACAAAGATGCATGATGCGGCTCTCAGCTTCCTGAAGAGAGAGAGAGAGAGTGAACTTTATTTTTGTACGCCTGGAACGGCGCTCGTTGAGAAGGTTCTAGAGGAGGGATGGGTGTTGCATGATTAAGTCGCAGTCAAAATAGATTCTTTAGTATTTGGTAGAGAATTCACACATTCGATGGGCACTTCCATGTTCACACGCAACATGACGCGACCAGAAGGATCGGCTTTCCTAAACACACCTCTATCCACTCGTAGTGGAAGCCCTTCGCCCTTTCCACTTTGCAGAGCGAACGCCGGAGAGGAGATGGTCTACGATCCTCCTCTCCGGCGTTCGCTCTGCTAAGTGGAAAGGGGTTGGAGCTTTTCCTGATTTTCTTAACCTACAACAAGGTAGTACGAATGATTGGACAACGGAACTGTATTATCGGCGTATTGAAATACTCCGCGGAATTTCACCACCGACATGCGTTAAAAGCAGATACTAAACAAGAAGAGGAGACGGCTCACAACTCCGCGAACGCCAGCTCTCAAGGAAAATTTCGCGCCCTGCGAGCTCCACATGTTCAAACCAGCAGCTGGTTTGAACATGCTGTTAGACAAAACGTCTTCAAGCAGAATCTACAAAACGACCCCAAGCCAAAACTAAAATCTTAAAAAAAAAGAACCTTAAGCGACACAGAATCGAAAGCGTTGAAAGCACCCAGAAGAAAACGCACAAGTAAAAAAAGGTTATTTCGAAACGCATTGTTGAACAAACTGAAAAAAAAAAAAGAACGAAAACTCTTTGAGCAGTGGTTGTGTGTCCTTTCCCGTGTAGCAAAACCGCCGTGTTGTGTGGGCAAAATGTTAAATTTATCCGAAAAGGCTGCCACTCTCAACAAAATGTGTTTCTCCCAAATCATCTATACTGCAGGCAAGGTTCAGACAGGTCGATAACTTCCGACCTTTACCGTAATCCCCATACTTATACAGAAGCTTGTCAATCGCTGTTTTGAGTTCCTCTGGAACTTCACCTGACCTTACGAAACCGTTCCACACCGCAAGACAAAATTCTCTACACAGATCGGCTATCAGGACTTCATCGCTCCCAGGAGATAAACCGGATGGTGTACGATATTAAAGGGAAACTGAAGCGTTTCTCTATTTGAGAAAAAACATTTCAATGGCCTTCATTCTACCTCCAGGATCAGGAATATCAAGGTTATTTTTCAATTTGGTGCACGGAGGCTTCAGAAATTATTTTTTAAAGTACCGCCGAAGCCCCTCCTTCCCGCGGCGTGACGTCACACTAGGAGCGTTCGGAATATCTGCTCTCGCGCATCTTCAGCGCCTGTCAAAGCTATGCACGCGCACTCTTGCTATTTTCAGAAAGGTCAGAAAGAGACGTCACGACTGGTGTCAGTGCGGGAAAATATACCTGGCAAGCTTGCCGTTGCACGCGCTGAACACACGAGCGACACGCGCTTGGAGGCCCGAAGATCCTAGTATGACGTCGCGACTGGTCGAATGTTTTTTTCGCTTTTTCTCGCTTTTAGTTGCATCTTCGGGGAAAACAAAAGTGATATTCAGATTCACGGGATAAAAATACGCCAGAATTCACCTCTAACTCGTTTTTTTCAAGAAGTGTTTCAGCTTCCCTTTAACGAAGTTTAATAATAATAATAATATCCGTTATTATAGAAGGTGCGCAAAACGTCATATATGTATATATATATATATATATAAAAGTGCTGCAGTACATTTGTACACGCAAAATGCCCCGGCCAAACATCTCCTCAACACCGAGCAGGCCGTGCATCGGAATGTCTGAGCACGAGGAACAGAGCAGCGCGAACCGAAACGTCCGGACTTCCCCAGCGCGGCTTCAGCGGCTCAGCGGCGACGTCCGCTCCGTGCAGCGCAGAGCTCCCAGCGGGGCGGGTGAAAGGAGAGCTTCCTCCCGGAACGGAAGTGACGCGTGCGGCGCGTGTGCCCGCAGCTTCCGGCCGCTCTCTTCTCCTCACCGCTCGTGTGCGACGCCCCGACCGAATGGCTGCTGGTGCCGTGTGTCGCCGCTAGCCCCACGACCAGTTGTGCCCGATGCACCGTCGATCAGCGACACGCCGTGCGGCCAGCAGCGGCAGTGCGGCCGACCGGATGGATTAAAGCACCCCCACCACGGTGAGTGGACGACCCGACGGCGATCCTTTCGCAGCGAGGGCCCCCGACGCCCCGAGACGCGCCCCGCCGCTGCTTTCACCCAAGACCGCGGGCCCGCTGGTGTTGCCCGGGGACGCAGTGAACGCAGTCGGACGCACCTGTTCAACGCTGATGCGTTTGCCTCGCGCTGCAACGAGGTGGCGCGCGCTACCATCCCTTTTCTCCACATCCGTCTACACTTTACTGCGCGCTGAGGGGGTGGGTTACTACCTGAGTAGGGCCCTCGCCTAATGCACTGACCGAAACGGCTTCAAGGTCGTGGTTAGACCGTGGACGTCAGTACGCCGAAGCGAGCGAAAGTACGTCGAACCGGACCCGCCGTGGATTACACGGAGAAGGAGGGCCCGTTGCTTGCGCTGCACCGAAAAGAGACGCCCTGCGCGTGTTGTGCTGTCAGTGGCAGTCACTTTGGCGTCTGGTGAGCTTCCAGCGTGCAAGCGCAGCCGAATCACGACGGAAGGCAGCGACCGTGTGATTGGCATTTCAATGAGACGCCTCGCGCTTAAATCTCACGCGCACGTAACAGCGATTGGAGACCCCGCACTTACGATATCAAACGCAAGTGAGGTGGCGAAAACTCTCTACCGTTTGCTTGACAGTGTGGAGCTTTTGCGAGCCATATTCGCAGGTCAAAACCGTCCAGGGCTCGCGGTTCTTCAAAGCCTGTTTCGTCTAGGAAAACACTGTCCGATGTAACGAATTTGCAGTGTTGCACACTGTGTATGAAACGGAGTATAGTTTCGTCCATTTCGGCGGCTCCAGGGAAATCAGCGGCGCCGAGCGGTGAAGGCACAGCAGCTGTGCAGTGCTGACGGTGTCGACTGTACAAAGTGCTATGAGAGCGTGCCTTTCGGTTTCCATGCACGAACGCATGACCCCAACTTGTGAAATCCAACATTGCGAAAACGCCAGACCAAAAAGAAACAAACAATTGACAAAAAAAAATTGTCACAAAACGAGTGCTTTGTTGGGAGAAAGATACGAGGAGCCTTGCCGGTTTTGAAAAATACTGCTTCATTGGACGAATAGAGAGGAAGAGGACTGATCACAACCCCGTTGTTTTGAGACAGAGCTTTGTAGTAGATTGTTCGGATATCTCGATACACCCGATAACGATACGATGCATGCGTAAAGGCGGCAGTGGAGTATCAGACATAGGCGGATAGTTTTAAAATTTTTCCGGGGGGGGGGGCTAAGGCCTATGGTATCGTTATCGGAGTCACCAGAACGTTGTAAACACAAACGATAAACCACTCCGTTGGTTTTAGAAATTTAAAACAGAAACACCAACCATAAACTTATATATATATATATATATATATAAACTAAAAGAAATGTTTTTAGCGGTTTATTTTAGCTTTTGTCTTCTGAGGTCGCTCCTCGCGCTGAAATTGGGCAAAATTGAACGTCAACCGCTTTCGTTTCAGGTAATCGCGCAGCCAAATGGCCGCAGGGGTGCGGCAATCCTTCCTAGCGTACCCTGCCGCCTGTTATCTGTCAAAGGGTGTGGTGACGTCATCGTTGGCGTCTCCGAGCGATCTGATAGGCGGGCGAGGGTCACCTGTCACCGTCGATGTGACGTCACTTTCGCTAGTTTTTCTTCCTCCTCCGCTCGACGGGCAGAAGAGGCGAAGCTATGCTTTTCAATTTTATTTTGCGATCACGTCGCTTTTGCTAATAGCATAACAAAAAATTATAAAAAATCTTTGCAGGTTTCCAATCATGTTTTTTAAACCAAAACATAATTTTTTTTTTTTTTTTTACAGTGAAAGAGAAAGTAGCAGGGACAGACACCATCTGTTCCTGTGTCTGGATCCAAACTGTCGCAGCTCTTTCAAATAAGAAAAAAAAAAAAAAAAAGGCTTCATCCAGCTTCAAATGGACCCGAGGAATTTCATCTCAATTTCAATCTTTGGATTTTCGAAAGAAACGCTGGCCATACCTAGCCGCAGGACTGTGGCACGCGCGGCGCCTGACATTCGGCAGAGGAGAGTTACACGGAGATGGCAGCGCGCAGAACACGAATACTGGAAGTTGGAACAGTCGGTTACATAACTCGGACGAAGAGCGAAAGCTACGAACGTGACATTTCTCTTCGGGAGCGGGACGCCGTGACGGCTGCTCTGACGACGGTATACGTTCTCACGTGCCGTCGTCTCCGACGCTGTGATTGGCCGGGCAGAAAGCGTGGTAATTACGCCGTTTGCCAGGTTACGTTCTTTTTTTTTTTTTTGCTTGCTTGTGTGTTTTGGTCAACGCCACTTAAAAAGAATAGAATTCAGGCCTGCGAACATTTTCCTCCATCTCCATGGAACTTCTTCACAGTCGGTTGGCAACAACTCTCTGATTGGACTCGAGTCCCACGCCGAGCGTCCCTCGACGCGTTCATTGGACACGAGGCCCAGCCGAGCGCTGACGCAGCGCTCGTATCCAATCTGCGTCTTAGCTCGATCTCGCTGCGATGACGTCGGAATTCTAGTACTACAGTGTACTAGAATACGGGTGTAGTGTTGGGACCGGAACCGCTCGCGTGAGGCGCGTGGTGTAGATCGCGACAGGTGTCCACACCGGTGCATCTTAGGAGCCACTAAATGAGCACTCCGTTCCCCGACATTGTTGTGGGCGCCGCCATTTTGGTGCTTGTGCAGAGCAGACGAAAGTGCCGATCGTCATGATTCAAAAGTGCGACTTCCTCAGCATTAGATTCGGTGTTCGGAAGCTCATGTGGTATTGCTTTGCTTTGTCTCGAACTGTTTAAACATTTGTAGAGGTCGGAAAATCGTTTCCTGTGATTTCAGATAAGCCTTCAGATAACTGGCAACCTTGATTTTAAGACACAATATGGGCAAGTGTCGTTACCCTGAAGCGCAGCTTATTTAGTGGCAATAGTTCATCTTTAGGAAGGTCAACAGGGTGGTGGTTGTGTGCGTGCTCCGTGCTCACACGCACGTGCGGCAGCACGTGCGGGCTTCAGCGACTTCCTGCCGCCCTGTCGACTCCAGCGCCGCGATTGTTGTCTACACACGCAGCCTTACGAGCTGCCATTGCCGCGCCTCGCCGGTCCAAACACTACCCCATATTCTAGTACACTGTAATTCTAGTGCCACAGCCTTTGATTATTCTATGGGCGACAATGGGATACTCCAGCTTTCGAGTGTATATACCGATCGGGCAATATTTGAGTTGTGGAATGCGCCGGGCCTCGCTCGTTGGACGAAAACATATCTAGTCCCGAGTGTCACGGATAATCGAGTGTCAATACACGGGGGACTGGAAGTGTTTTTCCTTCACATCCGGCGCGTTCGTTTCCCGGCTGTGCTACATCTACCGGCTCTCAGCTTCCCGTCACTGGCGCGCGCACCGGGACATACCGATCGCCCTGGTATGTCCCCTCGACTGCGCGCGTTTCGACATTTTTTTTGCCGGTCTCTCGCCCGCGCTTCCCAACCTATCCAGAGTCGGTCCCATCTTTTGCGTCATGAAAACGGCAGCGATGCGAACTATAATACGTGGTCACTTCGCTTCTGACCACGGCAGAAGTGTCGAGCGAAGTAGCGAATTGACTCTCGAACACGCGTCACGGGCTAAGGGGGCTTCCGGTAACACAGTTAAGAGTGAAAAGTGGATGCTCCTCCCACCTTTTTTCACTCTAGCAGAGTGGACGCTGGAGAGGAGGAGGTCGCCCCCTCCGCAGCGTCCGCTCTGCTAAAGTGGAAAGAGGTGAGAGGAGCTTCCGGCGACAAACACGTATCTCCAAACACAACTAAGTGACTGATGCGCGACTGAAAAAAAAAAAAAAAGAATACGCCTGGTCCTGGTCAATATCGTTATTATTGTCCAGCTCGCCTGCACCTATTGCATTATTATCAAGGAGCTTCAACTTTCTTATCCTGTGAGTGAGTGCACCGGTGGTGGTTGTGCTCCTGCACGACGACGGCCGACCACGCCTGTCCGGGCCGTGTAGTGTGTGATCGACACCAATTCCGATCGGAAGAGCGAATTCCATTCCCGCCGTGTGCGTCGAAACTCTTGGTCGGGCATCCGCGCGTCGTCGCCAAGCCGGTCGGGTTGCCTCATCCGCCGGATGCTCCGCTGCTGTGTGCGGGCGTGCGTGCGCGTCGACTCCGGGCCTGTATACTCCGTTTCGCCTTATGCTGTGTACCGCGGTGAAGAGGCTAGAAGCGCGAGTTCATAACGTCGGCAGCTGCGCTAAATGCACCAGAGCTTGTGGGTGCTGCCGAGATGTGGCCCTAAAGCAAGGAGCTCGCGCTTGTGTAACTTTCCCTGAAAAAAAAAAAAAAAAAAAAAAAACTATCTATCTATCTATCTATCTATCTATCTATCTATCTATCTATCTATCTATCTATCTATCTATCTATATATATATATCCTGGCTCCGCCAATTTTTGGCTTTCGGCGGGTTCCTGGAAACTTTGATTCTTTGATTCATTGGATTAAGTACGGTTCATTCATCTGCACATATTCGTTCATATATATATATATATATATATATATATATATATATATATATATATATATATATATATATATATATATATATACTGCCATATAAACGCCGCGAGGCAGATTTTGAATTGGGTGAGTTTATTTACTGACATGTGTGTCCTATCTTATGCCGAACCCCTCCCCCTTTTCTTTTAAGAAAAAGCGTTTTTTAAAAGTTGTGCGTTTCTTTAAACACGTGTACAAAAAAAATAACAAAAAAGAAGCAGGCACACCCTCATACATAGGAAGGAGAAAGAAACGGATTCGGTGCAGATATTCCCGGCAGGCGAGCAAGGAGCCGATCACTCGGCTCTCTTATCATTGTTGTACGTCTCTGGTACACTCCCTTCCACCCCGTGTGATGGACCGCAGCGGACGCTACGAGCCGCCACCGGAGTCGCTCCCATGCCACGTGAGCGTCATGTGAGCTTCGGGAGGGGCCCAGCGACGCGCAT